TTCAGATGGTGCTGCTGTTGACTCAGCAGTGATTTGCACTCTCTTCGATGCCGGCTCGACTATCGTTTGTTTGATCTGCTGAGCAGCAGCATCAGCAACAGCAAGTAAAGGCAGCTAAAGCAAAGAAAATTAGAGGGAGCGAGAGTTTGTCTTTCTCAGGTAGTGTGATCGCGCATTCAGGCACACTCAGTGTTGCGTCTGTTGCTGCGATTCGGCGAATCGATGAGCAGCGGAGACTGCCAATGAAAGCAGTCGTCAATGGCCGGAGCACCGCAGCGAGGGAAAGAGAATGCTGTGCGTCGATCGACTGCAAAGATACACCAATTCAAAGTAGTATTCACCTGGTGGACTCACTTGGCGCACGGCAGCAGCAGCAGCAGCAGTCTGATGATAAAAGCTGGACCGGTTACTTTCGGTCTACTGGCGTATGCAATTTAGATATAGGTGGTGACTGCTGCTGCTGCTTCACTGACGATCGGAAAAATGGTGATTCCAAAAGAAGGGACAGTAGCGAGGCAAGGTGAGACCTGTCTGAGAGAGGAGATCCAGTAGACAGGCAATAGGTCGATTGCCGCTCACTGACCACCGAATGACTGCCACAGTGGCCATTGTGGCCAACGCCGCCGGGCGATTGAATCCAGTGAGCTTGGCGTCCTCACCGACCACCGCCAATGACCGGTGGCCAGGCGCAGTTGAAAGAAAGAACGCTGCAGCCACCGAGTAAAGAAGTGGGGAGAGAGAGAAAAGGGCATAAAAACTGCACAGGAGAAAGATGCCTACCTACTCCACAAATCGAAGTTCAGTGCATCGATGGGCGCACTAATTACCCGCTTTCTACCACCGACAATGGACAACGGCGGACTCTCCGTTGGCTGCCTTTGTTGGCCACTTATGGCGGCTCATCATCACATTGCCAACTCTCACTCTATGAATGTGCTGTTCGATGGCTAATTAGAAGCAGTCGATTGACTCGGTACTCGTGTTCCTCTTCAATTGAGGGAGTTATTCACCAGTTAGCACCAATTTGACCAACTCATCAATGCTCGCTTTGGCGCCTCCTTGCACAGAGAAGAAAGAGATGAAAAAGAACGAAACTGGTCACTGGACACAGCTAGACGATTTTTCTTAAGAAAAAAGGGCTGCTTTCAGACGAGTTTTGACCGGAGGATAGTTTGCAAAGGAGAAAACGTAAAATTCTCGCGCGTAAAGCAATTTGCAAGCGGCACAACAACATCTGCGCAGTGTACCACAAATGTACAATGGAACTCGTTCAGTGTCGTCAAAAGTGGTGGCCACCAGTTGCATCGCAATGATGAGGTTCATGATGAGGTAGAGAGGGAGGGTCAAAAGAAAGATAAAAAAAGAAAAGTAAACAGACGAGAAGAAAAGGCTAAACTATTAACGTCTGTGTGTTGGCACAGTGGACTTAAATCAAAAGAAGACCGAGTCGAGAATGCGGTGTCGTGAATGCTGATGCGTGAAAATTGCAAACTCTTAAAGAGAAATTCATTGCTGTCTGGGTCCTCGAATAAGCAGTGTGCATATGCCACTTACCTTCGTGGTGAAGTGACACGAGGTCAAAAGGAATTTCTGGTGGCGAGTCGGCAAAGGACAGTTGGAAGGCAAAGGCCAGCAACAAAGTGACGGCCAGTGCAAACTGTAGCCGGTGGCGAAATGGAGAATGACTGGATGTGATTGGCGATGGTAAAGGTGAAATAGAAAAGAAAGATAATAATGAAGAGGATGATGCGGATGATGATGATGAGGATGAGGATGAGTGTAATGATGGTGGTGCTCCTGTGGATTTATCCCCGGAGGAAGAGGAGTGCGGCAGCACCGAATGGCCAGAGGCGTCTCGGGAGCGAGTCCTCGTCATCATCTTTACTGGCTCCTCCATGCTGACGCGCAATGGCTGCCCCCACACAGACTAGTGCTCTCAACTGGTACACTCACTGCACCACTGAACCTGGTGTCACTTTTTGAACGTTCGCTGACTGATGATGGCGCTTCAAGCTGGATGCTGATGAATGGTGTTTACATGCTCGGTAGTGACGAGTTGAACACTGCCCAAAGGTGGGCACCAGAAAGAGAGAGAGAGAGAGACAGGTGAATAAACAAACAAACTGACTGCTGGAAAATCGAATCGGGTGAGAAGGCACTCTCAGCTGGAGAGGAGACAAAAAGGATGCGCTGACAATGGAATGGGCGAATAATAGCAAAGTGGTGGTCGTGGTGGTGGGGGAAAAGGAGATGATGATGATGTTGACTGGATCACCGGACACAGGGCGAAGATAAAATGTAGAAAATAATATCACCACAGATAACAGAAGAAGCAAACTAGTGCCGGACCAGATGAGGACAGAGTGAAGCGAGGATAAGCGGTAGACACATGGCACAGCGTAAACACAACTAACACACACGTAAACAAAAAACTGATGAAAAGAAAAAATGCTGACAACAACAGTGGAAACAGAGTGGCCCAATCACTTGCAGGGTCCGCACTCGTGGTGGTGGTCGTCGACACTCACCCACACACCCACTTCAGAGTGGGGAGAAGGGGGCACTGGTAAACGGGTGCAGGTGAGTTGTCAGCAGGTGCAGAAGAAGAGGAAGAAGAAGAAAAGGGTGAAGAACCACAGACTGGGTGGATTCCACACACCATCACCACCGCTACCAACAGTCAGACAGACAGCAGCGAACAGTTGACAGCGCGCGCGATGATGAGGATGATCATCAGAAGAGAAAGAGAGAGAAAATGAGAGATTGCTGTTGGTAGTGGCGCCTTGCGGATACACCGTCGTCGGCGAACGTCGTCGGCGAGAAGACGACGCCAGGTCGAGTAAGCAGTGGAAGCAGCAGCACCTTCTAGCTCTGACTCGAAGCCACAATCTCCTCTTGAGCTCACCGCTTCTTCTTCTTCTTCTTCGTCTGACCGTCGTCGTGGCCGCCGTCGTAGTTGTGGCTCGCCGTCCATGCACCGTCCAATCGACCGCCAGCAGCAGANCAGCACCACCACCACGACAACCACCACCACCACCACCACCGGGCTACCTTCTTCTTCATCGTTTTCACTTGTTGCACAGCCATTCCACTTTGGCCAGTAGTCTTTCTTTCCCTTACTCTTCTCTCTCTCTCTCTCCCTCTCTCTCTCTCTCACCTCAGTGGCAACAAGTAGCAGCACTTGTTTTGGTGTCCCTGTGCGCACGTTGCAGGTGAGCGTCACCTGCCTGAGCTCGGGAATAGTGGCCGCTAGAATCCGCTGTCTTCGCTGCCGCAGCAACGAAAGCCAGTTCTCGTCTGCAGTCTTTGAACCTGCTTCTCTCTCTCCCTTTAGAATCGACAAGCTCAGTTTGGCCGCCACCACCAGCACCAGCACCACTGGCGCCAACCAGGAAACGGAACGGCACAAGCGACAGAGAGTCAAACCTTCATCGATGCTGAAAAGTCGACCGTCGCTGCACCTCGATGACACCTCTCTCTCAGTCTGCCGGGTGAGCAAACGAACTTGACGGAGCGGAACGACACACGGCGTCAGTCTCTCAGCCTCTCAGCCTGCCCGATGACCGCTCTTTGCCGAGGTCGATCCCGGCGTCCAGTTCACCGACTGGTTGGCAGAAGGGAAGAGAGAGAGAGAGAGAGAGAGAGACTCTTTTCTGTCTCCCTTTCACTTGACAAGTGCTCCTACCTACCTTCCTCTCTGCATTGACTCTTCTGCCACCGCTGACTGGTTTGGAGAAGAGCACCATCATCATCATCAGCCAGCTCGCATCGTACCTCCTCTAATTAATTGGCATCCATCGATTGCCGCATCTTTCGCTGCTGCTACTGCCGTTGCTGTGGATGGCACTGCTTCAGCAAGCGCTTTCTCTCCCCGCTCTTAAGAAGAAGCCCCTTCCCCCTTTCACTGTCAGAAGACTGAAGGAGGAGATATGCTGGAGGACTGTCAAACCTGAGGGGCCAGTTTTGCAAAGGCACTTGATTACATCCATTTCTTTCTGTTGCTCAGTTACTGGAAAGTACACTTTCAGTTTCGAATCGGTGCACGTTTTTGCTTATCTTTTCCATCTCCTAGCATCTTTTGCGCTGATTAGACAAACAAGAAGGTAGGCAGAGGAACACTGGAAGCCTGCTGTCATGGTGGGACGGTGATCCTCACTTAAGTGCAACTGGCAAATGGTGGATATTTTAAAACAAGCAAAAAATAGATTCGAACCTTTCCCGCCGATGGGACTGGCGAAAAAAAATGTAAACAGCTGCACAGCCTCCATCTACTTTTAAAAAGCATCACTAAAAGTTTTTAGTAAAACGACTCGAGTGCTTGCGTGTTTGCCAGAAGCTGTTGTTTTGTTATTGTCCTCCTGTTTCGTCATGACGGATGAGTATTTTATGAGTGCTCCTCTTGTCTCCTTTCCTTCCCTTGACGTCATTGTTCCTCTTTTACACGTAAGTTACATCAGTTATCTTTGTGTTGGTGATCGTATATTAAACTGACCACACTAAATTCCACTTTTTGTAGTTGTTGTAAACTGTCCTTTTTAACGTGTGGATAAAACTTTACCTGACTATACGACAAAGACAACTGAGAAGACGACAACAAAAGTGACACAAAGAACAACCAAAAACGGAATCAAAATGAAGTACTTATCACTCGTGTGTTTGATTTTTGCACTCTGGTGCCTGTCTGCGGCAAATGCAAAGAAGGACAAAGTTCGTCTGGAGAAGGTCAGCACGCTAACACTGAACGCCGACCAGTGGACTAGCGGTCGACGGAGTTCGCCGATCAAGCAGCTTCAATGCGTCGGTGGCTACTGCTCCCGAGCCAAGGTGACCAGTGCCCAGTGCTACAATCGAGGCTTTGACGGTCGAGACGTCCAGTGGGAGTGCAAGGCGGAGATGCCCGCCAACTACAAGTTTGGAAAAGTTGAAGTCATCTGCGAGGGTAAGTTTTAGGAGAGACCTTTCTGAGTTATAATGTCTAACAACTTTAATCTTTTCAGGTTATGACTACCCAGAAGACGAGTACATTCTCGTGGGTAGCTGCGGCCTCGAGTACACCATCGACGAGGTGGCAGGTGGTGGTGGAGGAGGTGGCAGCAATCACTACTCCAATAATCACTATTATGCTGCGAAGAATCACATCAAGGACAATGGCTTTAGCTACTTTCCCGTTCTGGTCATCATCGGCCTCATTGCACTGATCTACTTCACCTGTCTCCGGGAGCCTAATGCCCAGGGTGCAAGACATTCCTCTTCCACTACCAATGATGACTACCCGTCTGCTCCGCCGCAGCCCCCACCGGCAGGCTTCAGATCGGAATACTTTGGCGGTGATTCAGGTGCTTCGTGTAGTGGAAGCGCCTCATCATCATCTTACGGCCCACGAACACAGACGCGCTCAAGTGGTCCGGGATTCTTCAGTGGCATGGCTGCCGGCGGCCTGATGGGCTACCTCTTTGGCTCAAGTCGAAGCAACACCTACGCCAATCGACCCTACGCATCCTCATACAGCAGCTGGGGCACACCATCAACCTCTTCAGGATATAGCAGCGGCTTTAGCAGCGGCGGAGGAGGTGGCAGCAGCGGCTCAGAAACTCGAACCAGCTCAGGCTTTGGGTCTACAAGACGGCGCTAGAGAGCTTTGTAATCGCATTACGCATCACCATTGTTCATTCACTAGATTATTAGCACATCACATGAAAGAGCACAACTAATACCCAATTCGTTATTTCTCAGCAGTTTACATTTCCGGATCCACCAGTTTGCTACTGTCAAACTGATTAGTGTCCTCTATGTTTGCGCAGATGTTCACGTCCATTGTTCACGCCAGTGGAGCTCTTCTCCCGCTCGCTCCCTCCTTCAAACACTTAATCAGCTAAAGAGCATCAAAGAAAACAAGACAATGGTGAGCAGTCAATGGGAAAAAAGAAGCAATCGGTAAAAGGAAAGGATCGGCTAGCGGGATTAGCCGCCCGTCATACATCATCGCAAAAGAGCACCAAATTGGACAAGAGGGAGAGAGAGAGAGAGAGAGAGAATGCCGTCAGCCAGGTCACTTGACATCAACAGGTTGAGTGAAGAGTGGGGCCACTAGTGACTACCGCTGGCACTTGATGCAGCTCACTGGCAGGGCAATCTTCCCTGCAGTCTCGCCGGTCTCTCTATCTGCAGTGTAGTCCTCGTCTTGAGTGGCTGCAGAAGCAGCAGCAGCAGCAGCACTGGCTTCGCCGTCCATTGGCTTCACTCTGCCGATCGACAGCAGCCGCGCGCGGACTCCACCTCTGAGCAGCAGCAGCGGCACCGTCCGAAAGGCAGCAGATGAAGAAGAAGTCTGCCTTCCACCACAACAACACTCACTCACTCACTCACTCACAGGCAGACAGACACTGACAATGCACTCATCCCCGACGGAGCCTATCCTCCTCATCCTCTTCTGGTAGTGATCACCCAGAAGATACCCAGAAGATTCGATATTCTCTGTCTGCTGAACAGTGTAAACAGTCTGCCGAGGATGACTGGTCGTCGCTGATTAGCGCCCTCCACCACTCACCTGTTGTGCCACTTGTTGCCAAATTGTACTACCTGTGCCCACCGCCATTGCCTTGCACCGCCACCCAAAATGATTATCCTCAGTCGTGTGATACTGCTGGGCACGGTGCTACTGCTCCTGCCCAGTGGCCACGTTGCCTACGTCGAAAACAGCAACAACGCCGTGGTCCTCGAGTCTGACCCGCTGCTGAGCAATGCCCAGCCGAGCAGCTGTGAGTTGATCACCATTCCGCTGTGCGAAGGCATCCAGTATAACACCACCATCATGCCGAATCTGCTTGGCCACGCAAAGCAGGAGCAGGCCGGTCTGGAGCTGCACCAGTACATGCCCCTCGTTAAGATTCAGTGCAGTCCTGATTTGCAGATCTTCCTCTGCTCCATCTTTGTGCCCGTCTGCAACATCCTCGAGAAGCCCATACCGCCTTGTCGGGCACTCTGCCTGTCGGCGCGCAAAGGTTGCGAAGGACTGATGAACAAGTTTGGCTTCACCTGGCCCGACAACCTCGACTGCAATCACTTTCCAATCGGCGCTAAGGGGGACATCTGTGTGGGAGACAACACTGCCGAGAAGAACACCGAATCGCTCTCCAATTCAGACGGACCGGGCAGTCAGTTCAGTCC